AGTGATCACAAATAATTGCACTATAAATACACTCTAAAGTCAAGTGAAATCAATGATTGCTTTTTTATTTCAAGTGATAAGCGATTGATAGGAAGGCTTTGTATGATTAGAAGGAGTGATTGGATGATCACATGATTGGATGATTGCATACCTTTTCCAACGAGTTTTTGGTCCTCTTTGAGAGGGCGAGTGTTGGCCACAAGAGAGAACATCCCAACGAACAGCAACAGCACAGACAGCCGAGGATCAGGAGTTTGGCATTTGTCGAGTGTTGGGCCCGAAGTAATGCATTGATTCGGTGAACAGTGCTCTCAAACTCTTCGCGCGAAACCCTTCCCAATAGAGTGGATGGGAATGAGTCGGTGAAGCCGTTGGAGAGACCAAATAGAGTGATGTTTCCGTTGCCGCGAATCACAATCGGTTCCAGAGTCTGACACAAGTCGGACAAACCATTGCTATTACCGCTATTGTTGGACTCGATCTCTTCGATTATCTCATCGAAGGCCTGTTGTGCCAACGCCTGAGCCATCGCTGGTCACCAATCGATGTCACTCTTATTCTTGTAAACCAATTGTCGGATCAAATGATTGACTGATTATTGAGTGTAAATTGAGTTCACATTCAATACAACGTAAAAACAAAACAAATTATAAAACGCTTTGAAAATAAATACATGAATATTGAAAACACGACTAAAACTCAATTAAAAATAACGATATATTCAATGAATACAAATGTGTTATAAATATGTAATAAATATAATGTGAATATAATTGTAAACTAATTGTAAACTAAAACTAAATTCAATTGAAAATTAATAATAAAATCATTTGTCGTTTCATTTGACGTCAACTTTCGTTTTCCAGTCAACGCTATACTAATGGCATTCAAACACAAACACTACACTCCTATTGTATACCGATATCAGCTGTACTGCTGTACTCATTCCCTATACATTACTACACGATTGGAGTACAGTGTGTGTGACAACACTTTGCGTCTATGTTTACTGCATATGACTCACAAACATAAATGCAAACATTGTTGACGACATGTAATGCATTGAAAGTGTGTACAAAACTTACGAAACACTCGTCTATTTGAAATTTTGAATCTGCCTTTGCTTTCAGCGCTTCAACAGTGCTATGTATGAAATGTACATTTCTTTTCACTATTGAATGTCGTTATTATATTTAACTAACAGTTAATTGAATTGATTTAAAGTATGAATTAAATGAATTGAAGAATATATTAGACATAATTTATTGTATATTTTGACGCATTCTCTCCACAAATGAATGCAATTCTTATCATTGATTCTTTGCTTATATGCAGTAAATGCTTATAAAGTGTAACAGTATTACAGTATATAGAATACTATAGTCTACTGTAGTATACTGTAGTGTGTATTGAAGTGAATGCATAGGAAGTTGTAAAGTATTGATGTTTTAATGCTTTGCCAAACATTCACTGCAAGAATATATTCCTTACATTTCACACAAATTCCTCACATCTTGTCTTTGGCCCTAAAATTGCAATAAATTCACAGTTTGTTTGTTTTATCCCAGAATTACATTTAATTTTGCTAAGAAAGACATTAAAGAAGAGAATATATTAGAGATTTATTATAAAATTGTAATTTTATTAAAATATTTAAACTATTTTAGAATTCAGTCGGAATTTCATCAATATTTGTGATATTAAAAGAAATATTTAAACATTTCTTTAATTATAAAGTTAATTATTTTGTTATAACATTCAATTAATTTATTAAGTTATACAAGGTAACAAAGATAGTTATTAATAATTAATATATGTAAAAGTGTATAAACACTAGAAATTATTAATTCATTGAAAATTTAAAATATTTAAATCATGACTACTGTTAGGAATTTACAGCTAATTTAAAAATACGCCTAAAAATGGTTTATATAGTGCCGACCAAATGGTCAAAACAGCATTCATTGTGTGATTACAAGCAATAAATAGGGAAAACAAAAGGACATTAACTGTCATATGAATAGTATTATACATAACAACACAAAAGACACGGAATATAGAAAGAATGGTAGGGATAGAGGGATAGGGAGTGAGAGTCGATGGGAGAGGAGTGGATGGTCTGGGCGTTGAGTGGAAAGGGAGAGAACCTGTGTCTCACTATATATACTGTTTGGTATAGTCTATGATAACTGATTTGTGGCACACATTCAGCGCTTCGAAGATCCAATTGTGAGCACAAACTCAACGTAAATATAAATAAATACTCAAAAAAGTGTTTACAAATTGAAATAATAATTAATTACAATTAATCGTAAGTTTATTTTCACATCTCTTCACTCAAATCAAAGCGATTGGAAATAGAGTTGAATTCGCAATTCAATGCATATATGATTGCATTTGTATTGAGTTCTCAATTACTGGTAACTCAAAACACTGTCAAACATTGCCTTCAATTCATAATTATATGATATATATATTGAATTGAATTCAATATTCATATTAAGAATTGTGTTCAATAACTGAAATACATTTTTGCAATCCATTTATAAATTCCTTCACATATTTTGGCTTCAATTCAAATATTTTTCTCCTTTATTTAGTTTCCACTCAATTAACGATTAAAATTGTTTTCTAAATAATTCAACAAATTATTGATTTGAAACAATTTGGACGAAAACTCCATTCATTCCGATTAAAGTCTTTGTTTAACAACAAGAATAATAATAAAAATTTGCTCAACAATTATGAATATTAAATCAATACTCAGTTTTAATCATAATAAGCGAACAAATGCTATTTTATGTCTTATTTTTATGATTTTCTCTTCATTACAATCACTGGTTTGGAGTAAGTTTTTAATCAAAATATACTTTTAATTAAATATTAATATAATATTGCATTTATTTAAATGAAAAGGCGTGAGAATCCAACCCCAGGATAAGGTGAAGGCTATTTGGAACCGACAAACTATATTCGTTAAATGTGTCAAAGATAAGGGCCAAACTGATGGTAACTTTTATCCCAATAACTTATAACAAATTAATACTTATCACAAGAAAATATTCAAATTAAAGGAGTACTTAAATGGGTTTCTGCGGCAACGGGTGAACCAATTGATGACAACAGTTTGGCTCCAATATACCAACAACAGGGACACGAATCTGTCAAACTATTCCTGGTTAATGTTCCCAAAAGATATTCTGGATTTTACGAATGCAGACACACAAATGTATTGCACTTTTATATTTATTTAATTTTCTAATTTAATAATTACCAAAAAAAACTATGCTTTTAAAGGGTGATAGAGTGATCTCATCGGACAAATTTGAGCTGAAAGTATACAATTCAATTGAAATGGAAGGTATGATAAGTAACTTAAATCATAACCAATGGCTAAATATGAGTGAAATTAATGATTTAATATACATTTTAGGCAACAAAGACAATAACGTGGGCGTTGAAGGCGACCCCTTTTCAATGGTCTGTATCTCAAAGTTTGATTCAGACAGCGATCAGTCCACTGAATCTCAGGTCTCATGGATTCACAACAACGTCCGCATTAAAGATGGTTTGTCTTTCAATTGACTGCCAAAATATTTAGATAATTAATTAATTCAATGCATGTCTTGTATACACATTACGAAGGAATAATTGAATGCAAAATGCATGAAACACTCATTTAGTTACTAAATATCAGTATCTAATGACATGTTTTGAATTGAATGGAAAAGAGGAAGGTTCTTTTACAGTTAAGAATCGTGTGGAACAGTCTGTCAATATGAAGTCTATAAGAAGTACGCTAACCATTAAACGACTCACCAAAGAGAATGAGGGAACTTATAATTGCGAATCGGTTTACGCCAACACTTATCTCACAGACATGAAGGCTATTGACATTAATCTGAGAGTTCAATGTAAGCCAATGTAAACCACATGAATTGATTACAAATTGTAACCCAATTGTATTGGATTGCAGTTAAGCCTCGTTTCCCCGAAAACACTCAGAAAAGTGTTTGGGTTTCCGACGAGACGTCAAGCAGTCCGGTAGTCGTAAACGTGACATGTCTTGTAAACGCCGATCCCATCGCAGAGTTTCAATGGTATACCGGACGGGGACACCAGTTAACCAATGAGAACAGATGTAAATCGATAACTATATTCTCTGCATTTAATTTAAATTTATTTATAAAATATATAATTGATTTAATTTATAAACTAATATTTGCAGTGTCTAATGCCAATTATAAGCATCACATTTACAACACCGAGAATTTAAGTGTTTTGTCCCTCGAATACGATAACATTGGTAAAATTAGGAACAAATTCAATGATGGTCACAATTCCAAGAAATTCGAGTGTAGGGCCAGAAATGCCATCGGAAACGAAGTGATTACCTTTGATCTAAACGTTGGCAAACTTCCAGAACAACCTTTTCTCGCAAATTTCTCATACGATGAAGGTTTCCATCCATTCATATCATGCAATCCATTATTAATACATAAGTCATTTCATTTGTTTTTATTAATATTATTATTTATTAAAACTTTAAGGAGTTCTACACTTGACTGTCAATGAAACACAAGTCGAACCACCGATTGATATCTACAAACTGGAGATTGTAGACAAACAACACATTTACTTTAACTCGAGTTAGTATTGAATTTTTAAAATGTGATTCTCTGTTCTCTAAATAACAATAATCTAATAATTATGTTAATTCCTTAAAACCATAGCAAACAGGAATCCGATTGCAAACAATACCTATGATATAGTAGTGGAACTGCCATCAGGAAACCACATGATGAAAATACATGCCCACAATCCTGTCGGGTGGTCAATACAGACTGATCCCAATCCACCGGCATATTTACAGATCAATAGCGCGCAAATGAGCCATCAATACATGGCTTTCGTAATCATTGCCTCAATAATCAGTTTATTAGTCAATACTTTCTAATTCTAATGATTGGTCACAAGAATCAACCAAACAATGTGTATTGCATTTAATCTCTATTTTGCCTCAATCTTCAAATTACTTCTAATAATTAATCCAAAGATTATCTTATATTTGAATGAAGTGTTGACTAAAAATAGTCCTTTAATTAGTTTCTAAGAAAAGAAAGACATTCCTCAAAGAGAATTATTTTTTGTCGTTAAGTTATCTCTAATTCAATAATTTATTCTCTTATTTAAAGAATATATCCATAAATTAATACTACATTTAAGGAATATTTTGTGTAAATCTGAATAGTATTGTAATTGTAATCTCAATTAGGGTTTTATTATAAGATTTAATGCTTTCATCGAATCAAACAAAAAAACTCAAACAATTCTCACACGATATGTGTTAACGAAATGAACCAAATATTCAAAGCATTCATTTTAGTCATAAAGAGTATACCGAATGAGATAATTGTCTGTAAATATAGTGAACCAAAGTCGTCGCCCGTCATTGCATGAGCTTATATGACAGACATTATGATTAGTTTACAACTAAACAAACCAAAGATTCAAATATTTTTTGAATAGCTTTAACTCACTTGTCATTTGAGCTCTCATTCAATTTTAATGTGTTCTTTAGCTTAGGATCTCTTGAATCATACCAAACATTAATTATTGTTTTCACAATTTGCTATCAATTATATTTCCATCTAATTATTGACAAAACAAATATTTTAATGCAAATTACATTCAATGAGAGATTTATGATTTCATATTGAATTCACATTAATGTTAAGAATATATTTTATGAATATATATATTATAAATGTATAATTAATGAACTATTTATTTAAAACATACAACAAATATACAGTATATATATCTCTAATGCAGTTAATTCGCCAAAAAATATACTTATTTAAAGGTTTAAACAATATTTTCTTCAATCAATGATTATATTTTATACCAAAGACTAAGTGCTAAGTCATTAAGTTTTAAATGAATTTTATTTATATTACACCGAAATTTGAGTAAATTATCATTCGTTTCCAATTGTATTATATTTTGTTGTTTTAATTTATATTTTATTCAAAATTAAATCAAAATCTATTCAAATTATTGCATCCAGAAAAGTATCCAATGACATGACATGTAATTTTAAATCCAATTCCAAATAAAAGTTCAATTCTTTAGATAATTAATTAGTTATAATAATTATTAACTAATAATATATTGTAATAAAATGTATGACAAAAAAGATGTGATAATTAGTAAGGATTTGGTCGTTGAGGTCGTGTGGGATCAAAGAGTTTGGGATCTTTGGTATATTTGGGATCTCTAAAGGCCGCTGATATCAGACTATACTGAATGGCTTTCTTGTGCTCCTTTTCCAACACCCGTTGCTGTCGTTCACACAAACCAGTGATGTGTTTGTCATACAATCGTCCCGTATATGGACTCACAAATTGGCTCAAGAGTTGCACATTCTTTGCATCAAATAAATCATAGTTTCAAACATACAATTAATGTGTGCTTTAATGCCTCACCTTATAGTCCACTTCAATACCATATTTACATAAAATACAGACCCGTTTGGCCTTTCGGTATGGATTGGCGAGACTCTGGTCCGGCTGTAAGACATTCACACATATAATGGATGCAAACCTAACACTAATCACACAATTATTACCAAGTCTTTCATATATTCTTCCGATTCTCTCAAATCCATGTCTCTTTTGGGTGAAGAACTCGATTCAAAAGCAGACAATTGTCTCACTTTGTGTACATTTGGTGACAATTGTCGCCATTTATTAATACCTGCGATAAAACCAAATGACTATTAATTGAAAATATATTAATTATTATTTGAATCATACCTTTAATTACAGAAAACATTTCAATTGATTTCAAACCAAATCTCAAATAAAATGTGTTTTTATTGACAAAAGTTTTGGGGATTTCATGTAAATATTGAAAAGTGTTTATTGCAGTCAAAACTCATTCAGTGTTTTAAGTTAAAAGTTTCAAGCTAGACGTTTCAGTTTCTGACAGACGCTGAGTTTCAAGCTAGACGTCTCGTCACGTGGTTAAGCGATAAAATTGTGGTAAAAAAGTGGTATATAGTGTGAACAGTTGTGCCACTCACGTACCCTCACCCACACTTGAACTACCCTATCTATACCTACACTGCTTTACTTGAATCATAGCTATGCTGAGTACTCTC